TGTGTAATGACCTTATACTTTGATACACTCCATGGGTTCGTTTCAGAAATCAGTCTTCATTTTTATACAATTGTGTATGTTATATGTATTCTGTAACAATGAGAATTATATTGAAAGTAATTTGACATTTGACGAATAACTAAAACAAAATGTAATTACTGAACTTGACAAAGTTTTACTTACTGGATATTTTTTTACAACCTACGTGTGAGCATGAGCAAATAGCTCACAGGACAATAAGTAGTCATCGCCTTCCGTAGACACTCCGTAAGCACTAGAGTAGTTTTTAAAGTGAGAGTCTTTAAAAAAAGAATAGTCTAGCTTTAGAGTTTTTAATGACTGCCAGCTCTCAAAACGGCATCGAAGATATTTTGTATTCTTTCGAATCACAATCTATATATATCTGAAAAAATGGCACAACAATCCCCATACTGATAATTACTGCATTTACTCGTATGTGATAAATATAATGAGATTCAAAGTCGCTTCGCAAATCCAAAGGATTAAGGTGATTGGTCAAAGTGAAAGGAGTGGTATTGAGCTGTCGCAGCCTACAATAGACAAAAGTGTTCCATGTGTGGCTGCAATTGAGCTCTATAAACTGTGAACGATGGACCGGCAGGAAATACTGTCGATATATCTACCGAGAATTCGGAAACGAACTATAGAAAAAAGTGAAGTTGAAAAAAAAGTGTGTCTGCGTTTGTGTATGTGTGTACTTATATACATGCACGTAAGAAGTTATACTTCTTTAGCGTAACAAAAGAAAAATACTAATTCATTACTAAACTACTTTCTACTAAACTAAGTAAAAATAGTTTTAGTAGCCGACAGGAATCAGGAAGAACATGAGGACCTTATTAAAAGAAAAGTAAACTAAAATTAAACACTTTTTTAAATTGTTAAAGTCAAATTTTGAATGAAATTTTTTCCAACTTATCGTTTTACTTAAAAAAAATCCTGAATAATCAACCTAACAACCCACGTGATTCTACGCTGTTTTAAAGATTATGAACCGGTTATATTTTTTTATTCAATTAGTATTACAACTCATATTTGGTAAAAATATTTATTTCAAAGTACTTTTAACTCTTATGCAGTTTAGTAGTTTAGTAGTCGAGTTACATTATATGATTAATGATTTTCACTGTTACGTTATTTTTATTCACGTCAGAAAGGTAAGTCTGAAAATAAGAATTTCACAATAACTTATCTACGTCGTACTCTGGATGTCAGCATTCAATAAGGCGATGTTGGGCCAGTATCCGGGGCCTCTATATCCACCAGAACAAATTTATTTCACTCCGAAGCATACTAGACGTCAACAAATAAGGTTATTTTTCAATAGAGGTTTTATTCATTCTCTCATAAATTGTAGTTGATATGTATATAAGTCAATAAGATTTTCTAGCTACTCTAACGTAATAATATGTATTCAAATATTCTTGTTTATGGCAAAAAAATAATATTAATATATTGTATTTGAATGCAGTAAGAACTATTTTCTGGCACGACGAGCTACTAATATATTTAAATCACGGGTTCGAACTCATTTGTTCTTCATGTTCGTGAACAAATTCAATGTCAATTACCCATGTTTCATAGACGTGGTGAAAAGTGCACATCACCAGCTACCTCTGTCAAGTCCATTTGGGTGAAAAGACGTGACTTTTACTTAAAAACTTTGACTTTTAAAAAAAATTGTGGTGGACCACCCTTAACATTTAGGGGGTTAAAAAATAGATGTTGTCTGATTCTCTACCCTGGCCGATATACACACAAAATTTCACGAAAATCGATCGAGCCGTTTTGGAGGAGTGCAATTACAAACGTGACACGAGAATTTTATATATTAGATTTTGATAAATTTCACTTTTTTAAAACTTCCTTATCGAAAATTGAATCCTGATATTGCCATTTAAATGGATTTCAAAAAGCCGTATCTACGTCCGATATCGCCTTCAACCCAAATAAGATACCTTCGTCAAAGAGCTTTTCTGCTAAAGCCAATGGAGTCCAAGTTCGACACAAAAATAATACGAGTCGGATAATGCTGTCCCCAGCACGTCTTTCCATTTACAGTATTCCGTAGGAATTCCTATTAGTGAAACAACTTTCCCGTCTGATGGAACCATAAAAAGTTCTCCTTTAAGTGAATGTTTTCAGAGTCGTCAAAATTCAAACGTTTAATTTAACACTTCTTATATCTTGGGTATACTGTGCACAATAAATTTAGCTATTAGTTAAAAATCCATGTAAATGTAATTAAATATTACTTTTGAGTATCAGGGTTTTTTACGTGAATGTAACATAATACTAAACCTTTGCAGCTCTTGACAGCGCACGTAATTAAAAGCACTTCATCTACTTAATCTTCGATAGTGAGTTTACGTATGAAACTGAGAGTATTATCTTCGTACGATGAGATAATTGTCGAGTGTAACTAAGACACAATATTCTCATAAGGCGCTCTGCTAATCCTCTTTACGATTAAGGTAAATTAATAGACTCAAACGTATTCGTGTAAGCCTAAAAGCGAAGCAAATTTTAATCAAACAATGTATAATGCAATTCACAATATCACAATACTAGTGCATGTGTAAAAATGTACGTTTTAGTTATGTTCATGTTTAATGCTTGAAAGTTGCTAAAACTAACATTACGGTTTATTCTTTATTATATGTGAATCATACCCTGCATACTTTATGCAACCATAAATCACATGTCTTGTTATAAACTAAGTAAACATACTCGTATTGGCTCTCGCTTCATTGACAAATGTTTCTTTCAAGTATTGCGTCCAAAGTTTCAAGAAAATCTGTCGAGCTCTTCATGTTATTTATTTATCTTATTTTTATTTATTAAATAACCATAATTATCAGCAAGAAAATGTTAAAAGAAGACTAGAAACAAAAAATACGAGAAGAGGCTAAAATATCAAATAAATGATCATAACCCCTTACTGAGAAGGGTGTGAAGGTTCCATAATTTACACGTCAGATGACATAACCCAACTTCTTTTACCTAACTCCCTAGAGATATAACTGGCATTCCCTTTGATCACCTCGCATTTACTTATAAAGTTATTCTTGAACTACAAAAAAATATTTAAGATCTTATTAAACAAAGATATAGAAATAGATCTTATGAAAAAATTTAAAATCGCTGTAATATTTAATCCCATGATTGATAAAATATATTTAAAAAAAAAAATTGTGGTATTTTTTGTAAAAAAGTTAAGAGAAAGCTGAAGTGTAGTCAAGATACTGCCTTTGTATTTGCCATTGCTTGTGTCCAATGTTCAACGATGAATTTCAATTAAATATACATAACATTGGTTAGAATCACACACATTTTTTACGGTGGTAGGGCCACGCAGCAGCCTCGGCTGTTGCACAAATGGGCAGGCTCGTCCGGGTAAGCACCACGACCTCATAGAAGACCGCCGTAAAGTGGAAGTATAATACTTTCGCGTTTCGTCTGCTGAGTGAGATGGCCGGAGCCCAATTTTTCAATAGGTTGTCAACGTATCTGTAACCCTTGGGTAGATGTCTATGGGCGGCGGTATTCACTTAACATCAGGTGAACCGTCAGCTCGTTTGGCAACTTTTCATATAAAAAAAGACATTTTAAACTTTGATTAGTAATTTAAAAATTATAAGCTTTCAAAACAACATTGCAATTTGGCAGTATGAAATTAGTTTTAAAATAATAAAACATATAAATATTTTAAAACACGTTCCAAAGAGTATTTGGACATAAAAATTGCTCTCAAAAGTCCGCAGGTCAAATTTATTTGTCCAGTTACTGCGGTTACGTTATTATAAGAGTCATGTTTAGAAACCTTTACCTGCAAAAAAGTTCGAAATCCCAAACTTCACTCTCTTTGTTACCTTAACATTAAACAGCCACTAATAAACTGGTCACGTTGACGTTATTTATTGTTATGGCAACACTGAAAAAAGAACAGACCAATAATTTTATTAAATCGTACGTCGTCTTTTCCAAGATGTACGACTTTAATAATTAAAGTAAATACTTTTCCTAAGTCATATAAACTAATGAGCGAAGGAACAGAGATGAATTATTGGCAGACAAAGATGGATAAAGGTTTCAACACTTATTAGTGTAACTGACTGCTGTTTAACTTAAGCGTCTGTTTGAAGTTTAACTAAGATTTACGCTCACCAAAATCGTATTAATAAAGATACCTAAAACTTTAATTAAAAAAAACTTAAAATGTTTGTTTAACAATTTAGATGTGTTGAAAACTTCATCAATGTATTTACTTTTCATCGTTGAATTTTTTTTTGCCTTATTATCTATGGATCTTATTTAAAGCAAACAAACTGCATAAGGTACAAATTATATACTTCAATTTAATTATAAGAAACATCTTATAACAAATTTTGGGACTTAAATTTTATGAGAAGGGCCTTCTAGAGTAAGATACAGGTTGACATCAACTATGTGTTTTTTTATGAGAGTTCTTCAGAACTTTTTATGTTTGCATTTTAAAAGAACGAGTATATATATGCTTGTCTACTTCTGGATTTTCTTGAAAGATATTACACTTTTTCTATGGTGAAACTAAGCAACCCTTTTGAAACTGTCTGTCAACTACTTTTGATGAACACTCACTCACTTCTTGTAATTTGCCCCTCTTTTAGACCTTGACATTGAAACAACAACCGAATTGGTTTAAATATTTCTATTGTTTATGATAGAAATAAAGGATGAAATCGTGAATTTTGTCTGCATTTAATATTCGCTCGACTTGATATTTCAATTTCTGCTGATGCCTATTCTGGAGTAGCAGTTACGCTTACAAACTTTCAGGTTCGTTTAATATGACTTTGCCCCTCAAAGGGTCACGATAGAATACAATAGACTTGCAGCATTTGCCTGTGTTTACCGGTGCATTCTCATTGTACGGTATCTGTTACTGCGCACCCAAAATTACCTATGTGACGATATTCGAAATTGTGTCAACACGGTGGATGGCGGAGCGAACGGCGGCCAGCGGCAGTCGGCACCGGCCGCTCGAACGCCCTCCGGTCCGTAAATACAGCCTCCCGCCGCACGGGTATGGATTATTCGTAGCTAGAGGCAAGCGAAACCAGTGCGACCCACGCGCTCCCCGCGTACGCTCGCCCATTCGGGCGCTCGCCGCTCAACAACTCGTAGCGCCGTAGCCGCGTAGTCTCGTAGCAGCGAAGCGTCCGTGTACTTACGGAGACCATGCAAATGTAATCTTTCGTTCGCAATTTTGAGTTAACATTTCATGGACAATTCAAAACAAAGATAGATTTAATAAAGTATGTGCTTCAGTGCCGATTCTAATTTAATTTTGTTGTATTGTGTAAATCATCTGGGGAACAATTAACTTTAAATTATATGTCATTCTTTAGTATCTGCCGTTGTTGTTGAGTAAGTATTTTTACTTGTAGCCTTGAAGTAAATTGTAAAAGTCTAAGAAGTTGTCAACCATAAGTAGTATATTTATTTTCAATAAAGAACCACTTTTTAACTATATATGATAATTTAACTTTACCTTTAACAGATACCTATAACAGAATTTTTCTCTTTGGATTAAAAAACGTTTTTTGTTTTCTATCTTCATGAAGATTTATTTTTAAAAACATTGAGTTATAAGTAAATTAATATTTAGTTTTTATTTGTGATACATGTGTAAATGTATTAGCAATATAAATAGCAGTAGCCTATCTTTGTCAATCCATGACACATATTAAACATAAAAGTTTGTAAATGTTAAAAAAAACATGCCTGAGTCCTGGTATAAAGTTTAAAAAGTGCGAGTAAAGTCACCACTGGAACTTGTTATTAAAGGAGTGGACAAAACATGTTTTGATATGTGTTTACATGAATTTTCCCCCTTAACTCTAATACATTTCAAGAAAAAATAGTATATGTTATTTTATAGGCTGCCTTAATATTAAGAAAAATTAGTATAGATATTAAAATGTAGCATCCTACCAATACGTTTAAAAAAATGTAAATTATAGTGAAAAAATATTACGCGATGGAGTAAAAAAGCACAATAAACACAGGCACCGTAACAATATATTTGCTTATCATAAAATTATACTACATTTTACTAACATGTTGTTATAATACCCCATCACAAATTCGGCACCAACTTGACCGATAAATAAACAAGTTAGAATGTGTTTTAGAATAGGCCTTTATGCTAAGCATTTCATCAATGGATGACCAAAAAGAAAAAGGAAAAAGCATTTCTAACAAAACGTTTCAAATTCCAGAAACTTTAATAAAAGAAGATTTAACTCGAAAAGTTTCCAGCGAACACTTACATATCTCACTCAGCGTTGTGACACAAAAAAAAATTTTACACCTGCCGCTGCCGGCGAAATTAAAATGGCTTGTAGGAATAACGTCCTATATTACTTAGCTACGGTTAACGACCACCTTAGACGATATTACATTAATCTCACAGTCGAGTAGGTAAAGTCCGTTAAAGCACCTTAACACTTTCGCTCTTTAACGGAATGTAATTACTCTGCCAGCGAGTGCTCCACTACGAACGCAGATGCTATAATACGGGGTACTATTTTTATTGAATCTCTAGGTAAAGAAAAAACATCTGCAAATATTTCCGTTCCGAATACCATTCAGCTTATCTGGGTTCTTATAAACAACTGAGGAAGCAATAAATGACACAACGACTGCATTAGTGAAAAAGATTTGTCTTCTTCAGGGCTTATTACTTGGATCAGAAACTTTCGTTTAAAGAGATGGCTTTCGGAGATATTCACGAATAATTGAACGGTATCCGTCCTTGTTTAATTAAAGGTTTTTTCGATTTAATTCAAACGGTTCTGTTTCCATTTCGATGAGTGAATTAGAGAGGAATATCCGATAGGATTTCGCCAAGAAGTTAGGGGCCCGCATTCCCTGCTTGGGGCCCCTGCTTCGTAATATTCAACCTTTCTCTATAGTTTTTGCTAGACTCACTAAACTACGTAACGAGAATCTATTTATCAAACGTACCATCTGCGTGCACAACTATTACACTTTATATGCACCCTTCCAGATTTTACACATGCATAATGATTAAATAATATGTTATTTGGGCAAGTATCATCACTTGGATCGAACCGGTCACTGTTACGCAACGTTTTTGGTAATAACAATATTTTTTGGAAAATGAATGTGAAGAAGGATATAGTGGGCGTACTTTGGATTATCTCGGAAATTTGCAAAAAACACCTTTACAGTGAGATTTTAAATAATTTTAAAGAACGTATTCACATTAATTATTTTAAACTACCGAAGCCGGGTTGGACATATAAACCTTCCTTTTGAATCACTCCATCTACTAAAAAATTATTACAAAATAACAAATATTGACATTAATATATATACTTCCGGAACCCCTCCACTAATACTTAAACTTTACGTTATTGTATTAAAGTTCAAATTGACTTTTAAGTATTATTACGAATCTTTTGTATGGGAATATAGAAAAGTGTTGTTTGTAGAATTTTTCAGGCAATTTTTTAATAAATATTTTTTCTCTCCGTAAGAACCATCCCCGTACTTCAAGGATATTATAAAAAAAGAATTAGCGAAATCGGTTCAGCTGTTCTCGAGATTTGCGCTTAGCAACAAATTCAGCGATTCATTTTTATATATAGAGATATTTATATTTTGTCAAAAAGTTTTGACAGATTCCACTGTCAAGTGTTTTTGTTGTCCTTTATTCATTTAATGCTTTTGTAAATAAAATAATGTATCATGAATATACAAATAAAAGTGTGTAGGATAGAATTAAATAAAATATAGATTTACAACAATTTTATGTCGGTCATTTTTCACTTATTATAGGCAGACTTTGAACCATCCATGAAGTAGCCTATGGTTATCAACCAGCCGAATAAACAGAAAGATGCAGTTGTATTAAACACTGAAACAAACACAAATACAAATTGATACAATTAAATTCAATTTCAAAAACAAATATCGATGAATCTGAATAGAAATATTTGAGCACCACTACCCACGCCTTACCCGCTTTATTCCACTACCGATACTCTATACGGCTACACAGAACAATGTACTCGTATGATGTTTTGTAGAATATTAAATCTGTCAGACTATGAAAGCGGTCTTAACCCTTTTTATTCAACTCATACAGTTGTAAAAGGGAAATAAGCAAAGAATAAGTGGGAGAAGGCGCGGGAACACAAGGAGCTTTTTTTAACAAAGGTTACTTACTTTTTTATGAAGAAGGACTGCAAAATAAAATAAACATTCCAAAACTACAAAAGAAACGAAAACGCTCTGTCAAATCAGGATGTTACATTTTACTTTTCTCTTTTTAGCACGTTTTGAATAGCTCATCCTATGTGTATATACGAGTACGTATATAACTGTGTATATGAATAAAATAGTTAAACACCAATATATATAAATAAATGAATGTAAATCAAATCTTTCTTCAAATGTCGTGCCAAAGCTCATGACAAATGAATGTAATCTTTATACCTAAATTATTCATAATATGTTCAAGAGGTTCAAATGATAATTAAAATGCAAAAAAATTACTCATTTTGTTTTGACGAAGTCGTAACTAACGCATTAAAAATAAACAGAGATGAGCAATTGTTAGGCTTAAAAAACGCAATCATCTTAGTGTTCACAGATTTGACTTTTAGACTAATAGATGTGTATGTACCTATGGACACCTAAAAGTTTGTACCTTTCTCGATTATTTTTTCTGGACGAGTGAGCATTTTTCTCGACCGCTTACAAATGACCGCTTTCGTACCAAGAAATCTCTTTCCTACGTTTTATTTTCTCTCCTGTAGATACTTCCATTATTTTGTTAATGGAACGGTGTTCAGAGCTGCCTAAACAATGAAAGGCTATCTGTAAGATGACGGTGTTCATTACCGAAGATAGTTTCACGGTCCCACTTAAAGTTTTATGTAACGTGCAGTACTAAGTAACAATATTAGCCTTGTGGTAAACTTTTTTACTAATGTCGGTGTCAAAGACTTTGACCAAAGATTGTATATGTTAATGGGATAAGCACCCTTAGGCATATATCTGACCGTAACAGTGGGGAAAATTTGAGATAAATATAATTAGTACTTTTCATAAGCCTCTTAGGTCGTCGCAGTAAGCCCCTTTTATAAGTTATTTTGACGTAATCGGTATTCACAGCTATTCGCTGATATTAAGCAAAATTTATTACAGCTCTACTAAAATATCTCGTCTTATTTTATTCATTCTACACTTAAAGTAACTTGAGATTCCCGATATCAACCATTGCGAATTTCATATTTTGCAGGTATAATTTTTTAAATTAATCCAGCAACGGAACTGGCTTGACCTAAGCCATTCATCAATCGGGGGCGTTACGACAATCGTTTATTTTTAAAGGGACGTCAATCGTTCCATTTCCGTCAATTTTAAGGAATTGATCGCAAAATTCATGTTTTCATGACGAGGAAATTGATGAATGTCTTTTATGAAAAACTGGCTATAATTATACCGTGTTTTTGCAGATTGTGCGCGATAATTAGCCGTAATGTAAAAATTATATAAAAATTCTTAACCATACAAAAAAAGATACTAGCTTAAGCTTTCGTATCGTTGAACTGCAGTTGAGTAGACACAGGTGACAAGGGCGATAACTATTTCCACAGTAATAATTGTTAAACAAACTCATTAGGTTCCTCAGTATGACATGTGCTAAGTTCATTACGGACCAAAATAAAAAATCTCCTTAATTAAGTAAGCAAATAAATTATTTTTAAACTATTTTTATAGATATTATGAATCAGATATATGGTTGGAACAAGAGCCTTTAATATTCATATAAGTGTGATCAAAATGGGAACAAAATCCGTTTATATTAACTTTTTCCACTTAAAGAAAACTAAAGGAGAGAAAAACAATACTTTGTATTTTATTAAGCCCAAAAGTTGTTTTTCTCCTACTAACGCAATGCGACAAATGGTCAAAACGATTCTTTAAATTATAAACATAAAAATTTGATTTAATATACTTTGCATAACTTTTCTCTATAATTTAAAA